GTAGTGTAGTGTGTGTGTGTGTGTGTGTGTGTGTAGTATATATATATATATATATATATATATTTATATGTGTGTGTGTATTCATATATGTATATACATGTGTATATGCTTGTAAATGTTTTATGTCATCCATACAGATTAGATCATTGATTATATTTTATAAACGAGGGCACTAGCTAGATAGATGCCAGAACGCTCACTGGGGTGCTCACGTGATTCTGCAGGAAGTGGTGTATATATATATATTTTTGCGTTGTGGTATTTTTTGAGGTTTTTTAAACATGGGTATCAAAGTTCAAAGCTGAAACAACTACAACAGTTTTGTGATTATATTCATTATTGAACCCGTACTTTAAGTGTTCATCGTTCTTTTGTGATTTTTTAGCGTGTTCAGTTCGCACCGTCAGACAGAGCCATTTTCTTCTATCGAATTCATTGAAAATTTGTACTCAACCTGATGATGTTTATAGCCAACGCAACAAGCAGTCATGGCTATCGTCGCGTCTGCAGCAATAATCTGTCGGGCATCAATTCCGCCTCCATCCACCATTTGATGTATGACACAACGGTATGTACACACGGGCTGAGTGTACGTCGATTTCCATACAAGCCGCCTCCATAGAAATGACAGTTGTGTGTTCGCGGGAGATATGTGCAAGCCCGCGGTTAAGAAAGCTTTATGCATTTTGCTTGACATTTGATATTGTACATGTGTATTGCTATGTACATGTAATTTTGGCTATATATGTGAGCATGATATTGCTTGCCAACCGAGATATATATATTTTGCGACTTCGGTGACATCTCTGTATTCCAGACACAGGACACTCTTGCGGTACTCCGTCGAGAATGGGCACGGAACTCTCAAATTCGTGTTCTTTTAGAACTCAAATTCGTGTTCTTTCAGAACAACCTAATGTGTTGTATCTTGTTCAATGCTTAGGTTAAAAAAAAGCAATGGAATACTGTTTTCTGCTTTAGCCTTCTGATACGATTGGGGGGAAGGTTCACTTCAATTCCCCCACTCATTTGCGTTCACGAATATGGTCACCTCCTTGCAACCCGCAGTCCAGGGCTGCGTACAGGAGTCAATCGGATCTGAGTTTTGCTCAGACTATCCCTACCAACGAGCACACACCCTGCCTGTTGACACAAGCCACTGCCTCACAACGAAGGCTACTGGAGACCGCCTACAGCATGGACGAATCCCATCCCACGCACCAGCAATGTACAGCGCGAAAGTTGGCAAGGGAACGCAAAGCAAAGGCATTGCACGTGCGACGTGTGCAGAGTGAGGCGAGCAATGGCAGCGAAATTGTGGACGATGCAGCGGCTTCGTATGTAAAAGTGTTTTTGTGCGTAAGGTGGTTTGTGAGTTCAAGTACTACTTCAGAAGATAAGTTCTTGTGATTGCATAGTTTAATCTGCGTAGAGTCAATATGTACATCGTGTGTAGGTTTTGTATCATGCGTTGCATGTTTTCGAGGTGGCAGTGGTGGTTTTGAAGTGGTCTGGTTTATCCTGAATAATTTGAATAATAGAAGCAATCATACAAGCACGGAAGTAGCCTTGGCAATTTCACCTTTTATTTGCATATTCGCCGCTATATGGCGCTTGCAAGTTGGTATACATCTCTTTTAGCCTCGATATTGAGTATCATTTGTTTTTCTCTCTTCTCGTCGCATCACAGAATGGAGTGGTACAGTTTATTTATTTTCGTCATTATAAATATACTTAAATATTGATATATGATTGAGCACGGCATTGAATTCGGTCTCTGAATTTTGACAGCCCTGATGAAACCGGGCTCTTGCTGTGGGGTCAAAATTGCGACAACCCAAGTTCGAGTCCGTTGCTAGAAGACGGCTGGAGAATCGACATAGAGGCCATTTCGCGCAAGCTGGTAGATACAGAGACCAAAGAGTTTGGCTTATTGAGCCGGAACGTGCGGTCATTCTACAATACGCAAAATGAGGTGCGTCTCGTTGGGGTCTATGTGTGACATTTTCCAATTGCTTTGCATAATGATACTGAACATAAGGGGATCATGGGCATCGCATGCCTCCGTTCTAATCGCGAGGTTTAGATTTACATACATGCCTACTTGGTTATTTATTAGTCGATGGCCCATTGAATGATCGAGGTTTAGATATACATGCATGCTTACTAGGGTTTTTTATGGGCTCGATGGCTCAATGAATGATCGAGGTTTAGATATACATGCATGCTTACTAGGGTTATTTATGGGCTCTATGGGTCAATGAATGATCGAGGTTTAAGTATACATGCATGCTTACTAGGGTTATTTATGAGCTCTATGGGTCAATGAATGATCGAGGTTTAGAGATATATGAATGCCTACTTGGGTTATTGATGGGCTCGATGGCTCAAAGAATTATCGAGGTTTAGATATACATGCCTGCATACTTGGGTTATTTATGGGCCCGATGGCGCAATGAATAATACGATTTTGCCGGGGTTGAATTTCAATTCTGCACATCGTCATCTTATAGCTGATACAAGAATTGTTGGATGCCGAAGAAAAGTTTGGAACAAAAAGAAATCGGAACATGTCGAAGGCCATAGAGACTATGGAAACCCGAAATGGCATGGCGACCATGCTTTCCAATGTTGTGAACGTAATTCTGACACTGGCAAAGGTATGTATTGGACATTTCGAGACACGAATTAACTCCCGAGACCCTTCATAGCTTCCGCTTTTTACAAATTATTTTGAAATTGGACAGGCGGCATGTGTTTTTCCGTGGAGGCGTTCATATTGCATAGCTTTGACATACTTTGCATTTGTCCGCGGTAATAAGAGTCCGTTCACAAACCGCTAACTTGGCATGAGATCTTTCGGAATTGAACATCGGATTCAGCTGTGCTTTGACGTTCATACCCATTATTTAAGTCTTACGATTAATACATATTGCACACGCAGTTTATCGGACTAACTAATTTCTGTCTCTTCTGTACCCGGTCAGCTTGTCCTGTCCTACATGACAGGATCCATGTCCATTGTGTCGTCGCTGGTCGACTCGGTAGTGGACTTGTTCACTGGACTTGCGCTTTGGCTAGCGTCCCATCACGTCTCTAATCATAACCCATACAAATACCCTATAGGCAAGTGATATTCTCGATCTAATTATGCTGTCACCCGTTTAACGCTATCCGACCGTCTATACATGTTGCTATGGACCTTGAGTTCGTAATCGAATTGCTTAATTTATCTTGTTTTCTTGCATTAATCCGCACTACACCCTTGTCTTCGACCTTATTTATTTACCTATAGGCCGCGAACAACTGGAGCCCATCGCCGTAGTAGTGTCCGCAGTGGTAATGGTGTCGGCTTCGTTACAAGTCATCTGGGAATCCGGTAAACGACTGATAGGGGACGACATATCGATAGACTTGTCCTTGACCGCGTGGATCATTATGGGATTGACGATATCCTCTAAAGGTGTACTTTACATGTATTGCCGTAATATAGCTACTCCGACTGGACAGGCTCTGGCCCAGGTGAGCGATAGATGGTTATTATCATTTAAATTTGGCTTCTGTTTTTGGTGCTCTGATATCTGTATGCATTTGGCACGCACCCATTTATTCTAATTTATTTACGCATAGCTTTAATTCGTTGTCATGAACATCTGACTTGGTGGCCTTCATTCTATTTTCAATTCATGAAAAGACTTTCATCGCATTGTGTGTGCCTAGTTGTTTCCGCTCGAAAAGCTTCAGCTTTGTGAGCTATATAGTCCCGCAATCTGTATTCATTTGCCCATCGAATATTTTGGACATGAAATATTTTATCAATTTGGTCCGACCTTAAAGTCGTGTATTGAGTCGATTTCTTGAGAAAGTAGGTGTAAATGTAACGTTTAAAGCCCTGTATGAAATCAAATTGTTCAAGTTTATACGGGAAACTAATCTTATTCGCTGTATACTTGTCGATATGTGTGGTGCTGACGTGCTGTATATATATATATATATATACATATACATATATGCAAGTATGAAACCACACCCTCCCATTCCAGATCCACGTTGACCTTTGCAAACAATTCGAGTTGCTAACACCTGCTGATCAATACTGTCACAGGATCATTTCAATGATGTTGTTTCAAACACAGGAGCAATGCTGTTCGCCGTTCTAGCGGAACGGCTTTGGCTCCCATTGGATCCCATTGGTGCGATATTGATTGCCATATACATCATGTACAGGTACTTGGTCGCACCTAAACTTCATGCCAGTCTTGGGCTACAAATATGTAACGGTTATGTTTGAATGAAGCCGATACATTCTTTAATGAAAAGGCTACTTAGTTACTCGCTGTCCGAAGTTGGCTGTATCGAGTAGCATTCGAGAATAGAATGAGGCGATGTGAAATTCCTAGTTGTAGATTTAATGTGTATACATAATCCGCCACAGTGCGATGTATGTACATGAACCATTGTTGTTTTAATAATCAAAAGTAGTGATTGTTTGATCGCTAGCCGCAAAACGGGACAAAGTACGATTGCTATTCTCGATCGAAAGTAAGCTGGTTTTTTATCCAGGCGTACGTGCAGCCTTCACAGTTGCATCTCACGAAGTTAATATTTTATTTCAGTTGGATGAAGACGGGTTATGAAGAAATACAAGGTTTGAGTGGAATAGCGGCGGAGCCCGATACGATAAAGGTCCTGACATACATAGCTTTCAATCATCACGCGGATATCATAGCCGTGGAAACTGTTTCGGCCTATCATTTCGGCACTAAAATGATTGCAGAGGTATGTATGGCTGTCTCGAATGCTCTGCGGTTTTTATGTGAAACATTTGCATATCAGTATTACTACCTTGTGAACTAAAAGTCTTCAGTGCTCGACGAAGTACACTATCATTTGAAATCAAAGGTGGTTGCCTTGTACCAGATATCTGGTTGTGCGTGTACATCATACAAATGATACCTGATTCTTTCTTGAAGTTCCTGCTCTTTGTGGTCATTGCTGCAAGTGATAAAAGATTAGGAAGTGCTTGTCGTTGTAGATTGTTAAGCATATATAGCGGTCACGAGACCTCATATTACATCGCTCACGTGCTAGTGATAGAACTACATTGGATTTTCCTGTTTGACAGTTGATTGTATTGATGTATTTGCAGCACATGCGCAGTTCTAAACTTAAATATCTATCTGATCGATGACAGGTGGATATTGTATTGTGCCCGTTCACGCCGCTGCCAATTGCCCACGATATAGCTGAGACGCTACAAATGAAGTACGAAAGTTGGGGCAATATCGAGCGTGCTTTCGTACACATTGACTTCGAGATTGTACATGAGAGGAGCATGGAACATCAGCGGCACTTGTAGCGAATGTCGGTAGCGTTACTCATAGTTTTCGTTCTTGGATTTATATACTGTTAACCTGTGTTAAGCCTTTTATAGAGCATGTGAGGCTGAACAGACTACAATAAAATTAGAGAAGTGTTCGCTACTCGAAATACGCCATTTGTCAATCCTATTTTGTGCGCTACAAGAGATCTATTACCAAAGCTTTTCTAGTGAAGGAATATCATAAATACTTGTTTAGCGAGGTGCTCGTTGACATGTACGACTATTTATTTTGTTTGTACGTATACTTTTCTTTTTTTTGTTCATTTATAGCAATCAGAAAACGTGAATTGGTGAAAATAAGCAGAGTGAGGCTCGCACAACCAAAGCATAGATGAGTATACCACATGGCCCAAGGTACATATGCGATCGGATCACTGAGGAAAGCGAAAATTGAGCTGAAGGCTCTACACTGGATAACCAGAAAAATCTCACACTCTTGACCGATATTTTTAATGCAACATTTCTGGCCAAAACTCTGCTTTTGGAAGATATTTTAGGTTGGAGCATGAATCTCAAAGTAATTTTTGTTCCTGCCCGTTGGGGAAGTCGATTGGCTGCTGTACGAGGTCCGGGCCAACTGCGAACTGAAGAAAAAAACAATTCTGGGATATTGAAACGGAATTTTGGAAGGCCTGTCAATCCGCATGATAAAGATATGAAGAGATACGGCAGCATTCATGTAGAGGTTACAATAAGTAAAGCAGGCGTCACCAAGCTTTACGAGTCGATAATCGACACCCTTGTCATTATGAAATTGGACACGAGAATTCACCGCAGAGTGCTTCAGAAGAAGAAGCCGAATACTGGCCCTTCCCGTCAGCCCCGACAACGAAGTTCTCGATGGGGTCTGCGAGCAACACTACTGGAATGAACTCTAGAAGTGGTCGCATTTCAGGATTGGAACGCAGATTATATAATCTTGTGAATAAAAATATAAAAATACTTTAGCTTTGACTTTATCTATTCAATTGCCACTCACGGTCGATTAATATAGTCATTTTAGTCTGGTACAGGCACTCTGGAATTTGTATTGATATGTAGTTGCCATTTGAGACCATTGAGGTTCTACAGCCACGGCCTCCATCACAGCCTGAACCGTCGACAAAGCCAAAGGAGAGGAAGAAATTCAAGTGCGGGTATAGACACGTGCGAAATAGTCGAAACATAACTAAGTGCCAGAAGCCGGTCAAAAGCGTCTGCCTTGATGAGCTGAAAACCCATACAAGAAATCGCAATCTGGAGATCGACAATAACACTGAAAGCTAAAACCGGGAATTGAGGTGGACGGGCGTGAGCAAAAGATTTATGTCGCACACCTCCATTACGAGTCACCCGAAGAGTTGAAAACGAGTCAGTTTCGGACGAGCTCCAACTCTTACTGTGTGAGAAGAATATACCCAAGCTCATCTGCATAGACAACACGGAAGACGACGGTTCCGCAGACTCAAGTCAGCGCTTCGTTTACAAAATCTAACACAATCATGGATATATGGCGCCAATGGTGACCAACAATATCCTCGGGGATGTTAAACACGAACACCACCTCGAGGAATCTATATTCCTCTGAGTATCAACCTCTCGCTCTCAGACCGCATCCCAAAGTCAAACCAATATGCCACAGCGCAGAAGGGAGCTGTTCTCCCCCAGCATTCACGCCACAGCACTTAAGAAACAACTTTTCTTTTTCAAGAAAATCTCATTTAATTCCTGTTTACCTGCGATATTGTGATGCCTGTCCCTGTATAGAAGATTATCCACGCCCGCCGTGATGCCTGTCACTGTACAGAGGATCGTCTACTCTTCAGAAAAGTCAACGTTTGTAGCAAATTTCATCGAGTCAACAGTTTCAACAAGTCAACGTTTTCAACAATTTTCATCGAGCCAATACTTAACGACTCCAATACGTCAACGATTTTGACAAATATTCATCGGTTCAACAGTTATCACCCAATCCGTCTATAGAGTCAACAATTTCACAATCCAGGTCTTCAGTCTTTAACCGTCAGCCTTCAGCCTTCAGTCTTCACTCTTCACTCTTCAGCCTTCAGCCTTCACACTTCAGCCCTTGACTGTAAAATTGAGGGAGAGTGCGAGACTGCAGGTCTCAGGCCAGATTTTGCAGCAAGAAATCCACTTTGATTTAAAGAAGTCATCAGAGTAAGCTCACTCTCGAGAGCTGATCAAGTTACTTCAATTACTCCCGAGAGTTGTGTTAATACTTAACCGACTCCCGAGAGCATTACAAGTTTCTCGACCGACTCCCGAGAGTGTATCAACTATTAAGTCTGTCCACAACGTTCTAAGAATATCTACAATCCTATGTGAGTCACAACCTATGCGGAAAGGTATCATGTGATCAGCGTGAGATTTAGTTGCAGAGAAGTCGAAATAGAATACCATCGAAGTATTAAAGTGTTCTGCAGAAGGTTTCCCATACTGTCCATATGAATTTTTACCCTAGCCAGCCCAAGCTGCTGAACACTAGAACAAACACTTTAGGTATAAAACCAAAGATGAGATCAGAAATAGATACTTACATTTGCACTTTATTTTAAAGTCACATTACACTCAAACAAGACACGAACAACAACTCGAAGAATCTATATTCTACACATCGTTCTGCTTGCCCACAGTTGGTATATGCTGCCCTTTCGGGTATTGTCCTTGGATGGCACGCCGGTGCCTAAAAATATAGTCAATGTCGATGATATCTCATCCTTTTGCATGAGCGTAAGAATGTACGGCTGAACGCCCTCGACATATACGAGCGACGACCCTATTTAGGCATCCACTAGCAGAACAGCGCTGTCAGATAGTAATTCTGAGACCCGTGACATGACATCGAGCTAGTTTGCGGCAAACAGTATGGATCCTCAACAGAAATATCTCGGGTGTCTTTGCCAGAAACTTGACAATAATTCTACCCACGGGAATAGACCAATCGGGGAACACAATATTGCCTCAGGCAACACCTTCGGCTCTAGCTCGGGCTACGCCACGGACATGGAGTGAGGAAACCTGCCCTCGTTTGGGCTATGGGTCGGGATCGGGGTTATAAAATACATAACCGGCGCCTCTGTCCCGAATGTCGATCCAAAATATTGTATAGGTCCTCGAGTCTTTCGTGCCACTAGTTTTATTTGTTTTAAATGGTTTGTTCGTTCACTGTAGCAAATTGAACCGAACAACGGTTGTACCTCGACTTTTATAGGTCACAGGCTACTGACGTGTGCTACGGCAGTCTGGTTGGTATTAGCTGTTTGCGCGCGAATAGTGCGGCGGTTGGGTATGGCGGCCACACCGGCCCACACGGCCTGATAAACGCAATTTTGATTTTGTTCGGTACCACAAGGTTTTACAACCCCCTCAAGCCGTATTGAAAAAAGACTGCTTTCTAAATGTGGTCGAACAGATGTATAGGTTAGGTAGTAGAACGTCTAGATGTAAGGATTATAGCCTCATACTGTCTTTTATTTTAGAATTAGGCCAGCGCGGTAGACGGGTCACTAGCTAAGGCCAATTCAACACTTAAGCCCGGATTTGATAGCAGTAAATTGAGCTGGCTGGAGATTTTTCTTAATGAACCGCCGATCTCAGTTGGAAAGACGGCGATTATGGATCTTGTGATGCTTAGGATCTGCTAGACTATAATATTGGCGGAAGGCAGTATTGAACTTGTACTGAAATCGGATGTCAATTTGAAAGTTGCAGCAAGACGAGCCTTGTCAATCTCGATTGTTTTTCGAAACTTGCTCATATAGAAGAGCCAGCTACAGTAAAGTGAAGCACCGTGAGCTTTCTTAATAACTGGGGCTGAAATATCGACCGGCTCGCGATACACCTTTAGTTTAGAGCGATGAATAAGTTTTTGCAGTAGCAACGTCCTGGATAATATGCACTACTGGTGGTTCTAAGGACATAACGCTAACAGGACTACCCCACCGGACAGTATCTGAAAGGAGAGATGGCTTCTTCTGGTATATGACTTGGCGTTCAACCGCAATGATGACAGCGTCGTAACGATGGCGGTTTGCCCAAGTTGTCTGTGACGCCTGTGCACGGCGCTTGTGCTTCCACACATCACAATCGCGATCAGTTGGACGTAGGTTAAGGGATATATGCGTAGCCCCTTCAGGAGTCGATCCATTCAAATTTGCTTCAAGATTTTTATAAGAAGAGTGATGGAACGTACGCCCCGTAATTAGGGTATACGGGAAGATGATAGTGACTGAATTAACGCTAGAACTCATGCCACGGATGAAACCCATCTTTCAAAGCCCCATGTATATTGAAGAACATTGCGTCCAACCGACGCAAACCATACGATTCATGTGCCGATGAGTTTTTCAACCAAACTGTTACTACGGTGTTCTCCGGTAGTAGCGAAGTGGTAGTCGATTCCTTCGGCTCAACACCAAATAAAAAACTGTTTGTAGTGAAAAGGGGTATCTTAATCGACAAAGTATTTGCCTGTCGTGGCTCATTATTCGTGCTGATTCTTAAGCTTGTTTTTGTCACAAGGAAATGAGTCGCAGTGGACTTGTCGAATATGTTCGTTAATGCATTTGCACAACCTTATAATCCAAGTGACGGACTGCACCGAGGTACGTTGCTCGATCAGGTTGGGAAAGGAGACCCATCATGAAGCCAGTCTAAGCTTCATGTGTAAGACAGCCAATGCAAGTAGTGACCAATTTGAGAAGGTAGTGACCGATTTAAAAAGAAAGTCTCCAGGTGTAAATATTTCAAAGAAAGAGATCTCTACTAAACATTCTATGTAGACGGTGGGGACGTAAGTGGCCACAGTATACGGCCATGTACTTTGTACTCAGACCAAGACTTCGGCTATCACAAGCGTTGCAAAGCTTGGAGTAGTCTGCTATGGAACTCTCGTGCGCAAATTTTGGGTTCGCGCAGTGGGCTGGTCGTACGCGAGTGTATTAGAGATAGTGTAGTGGAGTAGTGGAGTATGCGGTGGCAGTAATGACCCAAAAGTTCAATTGGGGTGTCATGTGGTGTAGTGTCACGTGACAATGTGTCTAAGTAGAACTCATGCACGCTAGATGTCGTAGGAAGGGGTGGATCCACAGGGTCACCATCCGGTTCGTCAGTATCCACATGGAGAAGAGACGACGATTGGTCAGGGGGTACGGATGAAGCACCAGATGTTGGAGGCTGGATGTTTAGTGAAGAAAAAGAAGCCGCCGTTGTCTGTTCGCAGTTTATAATAGGGATAGCAGCCAATAGCTGTTCCGACTTCGGCAGTGTACTCGTAGATAATGTCGAGTCGGCCGCTGAGCTTATGGAAGACTCAGCAAGAGGCCGTTTATTAGTTGGCGCGGCCGCCTTAGCCCTCAGAATCAGGCAGCCCAACGTTACCTACGCTTTTTTGTATTGTTAGATAATTAGAATAGCTAATTGCCCACACATGTGTCTTGCGGTCTCGGAAAGGATGTAGCTGAAGTCTGACGGCGAGTCAGCGCCATGATCGGTAAAGGCTGAGAGGGGGCTGGGGTTCGTTCACCCGGAGGAGGATAGGAAGTCTCAAGCTTGTGCCAGAAGTCAAGCGACATGAGAAGAGCGCTTCGTACTGCAGACTAATCCTGCAATCGTATAACGCCACGGGGGTAAGCCCAAAGTGATACCTTCTTTAAGGCACGTGACTTCTGCATAGTTAAATACAATCGGTTCATCCACTAGAAGATGGAAGAAAACACGAAGCCGTGGAGAGGATGTCCTTCACGGAAGGACAATGACACCTCAAAAATTAGACGCATCTAGAAAGCGGTCGAAGAACTCGATACATTTTTCCCAAGGAGTATTGACATGGAAGAATCGGTTGTCCAGGGACATTTCTTCATCTGTCTTTCTAGTAGTATCACCATTGGCACAGTAGAAATTGCATTGGTGGCAAGTTGCACTGACATAAAGGTCCGATTTTGGGACCTCCCTTTTCTCAACAAAGACGTGAACCAATGAGGATGCAGTTTAATGTTCTTTGTATACGCAGCAGGGATGTTATGGAATACTGTCACGAGCAAGATTCAGCCTCAAGAAGTTGGGGAGACACGAGAGGCGTTTGTGTGCTGGGTACCTAACAGGGTACAGCTTGGAAAACCCGCACGGTAGTATGTCCGCTACAAACTTCATTCCCCAATAATGTGCCTAAGGTGGACATGAAAGCGTCGGATCTTCTCAACCAAACGGAGAAATCAGTCGCCTCGCATAGCGATAGAAAAGAATATGTTCATTGGAAGACGATTGAACAGTGTAATGATCCGTCCAGGGGATGAGAATGTGGTGGTTATGTGTCATAATATTTTGTCCTTGTCCACAGCATAAGCTAAAGCCATGGTCTCAGGATCGAATATGTGGTATCGCCGTTGGGCAGAATTGTGGTTGGTACCTTGATAGAAAACCGGGGATAGTCTATCAATATAATTAATACAATATCCATGAACTCGGGGGTGTCCGACCTCAGAAGCATTCAAGGTAGTGGGGCAAGATGTGTCTTGGCCCTTTGAAGGTAAAGCGGTTCGCACTCAGATAGGTGCATAGGCCGGGAGTGTAAGGTTGACAGCAACAGTTGGGGTTGAAAGTCGTTTAACGGCGGTAGCAAAAGGCAGCGGTAAGAGGACAGTAAAAGCAGCAGGAACCGGTACCACGTGTTGACTCTGCAAGTGAATATTATGCTGGAGCTCCTAGTACGCAGCCTCTGTACCTTTAGTACTAAACGGTTGTTTCTATCATTTTGGAAATGGAGTAGCCGGTTTACCTTGCCGTAGGATTCGAACACCGAACCCGACACCAATAGCATATACGGTGGCAAAGAGGTGCAGTGGGAAGGGTTCAAAGTGACTAGAATGACAACATCCTCTATTACCTGGTTGATCATGGTGTAAGCAGCATGACAAGCAGCCGTATAATGAAGCGGATCCTTCTTATAAGCAAGGTCGGTTAATGGAGCCAACATGAGAGCCCTATTGGGCACATGTTATGACCACCAATTCATGGTAGCACCTAATGTTTCCATTTCATGGCGGTCCTTCGAGGGAGGAAGCAAAAGTATAACCTTTAAACGGTGCTCTGTTGTGCTTGTACAACCATTTATGGGTTGGGGGCCATATTCTATCTTTGCTCCATCAACATAGCCAACTGGCACTTGAAGCGCGGAGACTGGCATCTGACCAAGAATATTTCTTTCCAACGTGACATACAACCGACATTGTTGACGAAGTGTTTCAGCATATCTTGCAAATTTCGGACTTGAAGTCCATTACCTCTGTATTATAACATGTATGCCATCATGTTGACTTCAAAAACGCCCACAATAAGGCGCCAGGCCGTATCTTTGGATGTCATCCGAGTTAGGTAGTCACGAAAACGCTCGGAGTAGCGTAATCGGTTGAAGGAACAGGCCATATCCATAGTCGACACAACATCGCCACGGCGTATGTGGTCTAAGTACTTGTTTGGTTGGTATTGGATAAAGGTTTACAATGAACCAGTGATTATTCACTTTGTACTACTGGCAATAGCGGATGTCCTTGATTGATGTAGGTGCCACTCTAAGGAATTTTCCGGGGGGATTCCCGCAAGGGACAGACAAGGGCTGAAATAGTTGCTTTTGTTATCGATTCCCCGCTTCTCGTCACGAGCACAGATTTTCTCCTCCGAACTGTGATTTTTTTCTGCTTATGTGTGATTCGTTTTGAGGTAATGCCTGGGCCGATTGTAGTGTCGACTTCGTCGCCCTTAACGAAGTTATTCTTACCATCACGGTAGTGTATGTTATCAAATAAATCTTCGAGGTAGTTAACTTGTGTAGGGGTTTTGTTGAGGAGTCGTGCACCATTGTCGACACCTGCCCAGCTGAATCCTTCTAGACCACTGGGAACAGAACAGTCTTCTATGGAACTTCACCACTGCCGGGCTCACTAAGAGGGTAGGGATTAAGTCCCCGGAGAAAGTATCATCTGGGGTTTCCTGCAGTTTGAGTCGAAAGGTCTGTGGTTTTACACAGCAATCTCACCAGGTTTGTATCAAGTGGTCCCGTTGGGCTATGAACCTGAATAAAAGATCACAACCATATGGTAACTCGTTTGTTACAAAAAAGATTATCGGTTGTGTCTCAACGAAAAAGATTATCGGTTGTGTCTCAAAGAATGTCGGACAATCATTACCGAGAATTGTGGTTGTCACTTTCGCGGTATGGGGGTACATTGTACGAGCTGCAAAGGTAGACATTATTACGGGTGCGATCGTTTGATTGATTTACAAACACCTTCTAGTAACCAATTATTCATTTACAAGATCTGACATAGCGACATCATCGGCGTAGCATGGTACGATAGAGTAATAAAACTGTGCGGCAACAATCGGACCCGCGTTGGTTCACTTGTTTTCTTTCAGTAGCAGGTTCCAAGGGTTCTGGGGACAGTCACTTGCATATTGTTCTGTTTCATGGCAATCGTTGTTGTCTCGACGGTCGGTACCACGGTCATTGTTGTCACGATACTTATCACAATCATTACCAATACGGTTTCCACAACCGCTTCCAGTGGCACATTCCCCTCGAATGTCACGGATAGGATTTCAGAGTTACAGCGCCCGTAGTGGATAGATGGTAGTTCGGAAATTTACACTTGAGTGACACTTGGATGAAAACCAGCGTGGCGGTGCAATGCCAAGAAATATATTCTCTCGAGATTGCCTAAGCAACAACGCACTCAAAAAGTCACCAATTCGTTGGTACGTTGTTCCAATGCGTAATCATCTTTGGTTTGCGGCGGAGATATAGAATGCGGCATTTGCAAGGGGCCAGAGCATGGCATGGGCCGATCGAAAGTTTCGGTTCGCACCCTCGTTGAGATTTATATGGAACATTGCATCAGTAGTGTGGTCCAGGTTCGTGGAATGAAGTTTAGTAGAGGCCATTTTTAAAGCGTTGGTGTTAGGATCGCAGAAGTAATTACACGGTATTTCCGAAGCCCAGCGATCCGTAACAAAATCCCAAATGAACCCATCATCACAGTTCTTGAGTTCGCCACGGCTATTATAAGCATCACTTGCGTCACGATAGTTCCAGCGCTTCTGGGAAGAGGACCAATAGAACGTCCCACTGATTTCAGTGGGCGAGAGGAGAAACAAGGAATTCCCCTTCTTCAACGTCACCGGTAGAGCCCTCGTGTACATCCTGTTGGTTATTTTATTGGGTTCCAGAGGCGCGATAATGGGAAGGCTGCTCGAAAATCACAGAATCGTCCTCAACAGGACCGATAGAACGTCCCACTGATTCCAGTGGGCGAGAGGAGAAACAAGGAATTACCCTTCTTCAACGTCGCCGGTAGAGCCCTCGTGTACATCCTGTTGGTTATTTTATTGGGTTCCAGAGGCGCGATAATGGGAAGGCTGCTCGAAAATCACAGAATCGTCCTCAACAGACG